AAAAAAAAAAAAAAAAAAAATAGTTCTTCCAATCGATAGGTATTTTAAAAACAGAAGTAAATGGTACATCTTTCTTTTCCTTCTTCTTCTTCCTTTTTTTTTGAGGCTAAGTTTTTTTTTTCCCTACTAATTTTTGTATAGATTAGTGGACCGCCAAGTAAGAGGCGCATTCAGAAGAACAACTACAGACGAGAAAAAAAAGTTGAGGAAAAGAAATAAAGATGGTTGAAATGAGAAGAAAAATCTGTACAGTCATCTTTGGGCTCAATGTCCCCAAGAAACGTCGTCTAACTTTGTCAAATTTGAGCTCATCCAACTTTCTGTCGGAGGTACACACACACACACACACAGATATACGATGATTTAACAGTTATGCTTTTTTTTTTATCATCTGCAGCTGGTTACCTTAGGTTCTGCTTCATGGTATCTTTAAAAATTTTGTAGCCGAGTGAAACAACAAAACACAGCTTATGCCAACTGAACGTTGACAGTGGTAAGTGATTGTAGGTATGTCATAAAAAATTGGCAAATTGAGAATGCCAACAAAAAAAATTGTAAACTTCAAAAATTTCTACCCATTTGCTTTTTTTTTTTTCTCTCTCTATCTTTTACCAAAAATGGGGTCGATGAGCCGCGTGTCAGGTGGTACAGCTTTTGAACAATGATGCACCAATACAATGATGCACCTTCAGAATCTGTAGGAAGAAGCTTAACAGAGTGAACAGTTGATCACAGTTGAGTCGCTCAAATTCCGGTTATCCAGTAAATCATAAGTCTTATCAGTTTTTTTTTTTTAAACCTATTTAAGCAGTCTCTAAACAACTGTATTAAAAAAAAAAGAAAAAACAAGAAAGAGAAAAAGAAGGGCATCTGAAGGTTTTTGCTCTTTCTAATTCCGTTTTTTTTTTCCTTTTTTTATCTTTTTCTATTATTATTTTCTGTTTATTTTGGGAAAGAAAATACAACGGAAAAATGCAGAAAAAATAGTCTTTTTTTTTTTCTTATTTTTTTGTTACACTTTACTCTACTAATCCAATCAACAGAAAGAAAAAAAGCATTTTGTTATTTCCGGCCAACACGTTGGCCCTTTTCTCGTTCAATTTTTTTTTTTTTTTTTATTGTTTAGTTTTTCTTACACAAAACGCGTTTTGATTGTCAATTTACGAAGGTCAAAAAAATAATTTTCTTGAAACCCATCACCTCGCTGTACTGAATTTTTTAAGGCCACTATAAATTAAAACATGGGGCGTAAATTGAAATGGAGAGAAAAAGACTTAAAAGAAAAAGTAAAAAAAAAAAAATTATTTTTAAATCTTTTTCTATTCTATCATCACCTCCATCATCTTCATCATCTTCATCATCATCATCAACATCATCTTCATCATCATCACTTTTACTCGACATCTGATACTGTTGGTCTATGTCCCAGTTGTACACATTTGTAGCCCTTTTCACCTTCTCTCCCAATGATGATCTGTGGTTTACAGAACTGCTCTGTATTGGCTCACTCACACTCAGTGATTCCACTGTTGTTACTGTCT